TTTGAGTTTTCCTTTTTAATGCCATTTGCTTGTTTTTCCTCATACAAACACAACACCACGCATTGTCCACTTTTTGCAAAACACACTGCCATCTTGGGGTGACACGCAATTCGCTTTTGCCCAAAACTTTTCTCCAGTTTTTTTGGAAACAGAAGCTTCAGGTAAGTTTCTCCAGAAGTTTATTGTGAAATTGGCAAACAGAAACAGCTCAAGTTTGATCCTTGTCTTTTAAACAATAAAAATGAGGAACGCTGAACTTGGTGCTCTGTTACGTCGCCATGCAATTAAATTACCCCATTTTTGGTTGTAATCAGCATATTGTCATAATAATGATTAACTTCAATAATGCGTTGCAATACATCGCTTCACTTTAGTCGTACAGCTACCAAGTGTGCAGTGTGTGCTGTAGATCAGGCTCCAGTAACCGGTCAAAGAGAAAAGGACTAATACGGGAAGTGCAACAGTTATTAGCCAACAACTTCATGCTTTCTTTGTGTCAGAGACCCTATCTGCACCCCGTCACCCTGCAGGATGTAGTCCCCCCCCCCCCCGGACAGCCTCTGATGCTGGATCGCACTGCTCTTCATTCGCTTCAGGAACAAAGAGGGAGGAATAAAGACAAATAAACGGAACTGGGAAGGGAAGGAAAATCTCAATTTTCTGACTTTTGTAGGGAGCGCCTGATTAGAGAGTTTTCCCCAACTAATCACTCCAGGAAACACAGCCAGACTCAAAGAGCTAAAATGTTATTGATAACATGAAAGTGAGACATGAAAGGGCCTTGCATTACAGTGTAAAGCAAACAATCTAAGGAAACATTCTCAACTTAGTCATAAAGGCGAGGCACCACAGGTGAAGAGGGCAAAACAGATTCTTTTATCCATACATGATGAGTGAGGGCATTTATTTCTATAGTCTGGAGGAGGTCTTTAAATGGAACTAATGCGTGTTTATGTTGCGTTTGCTCCCACAACAAACATCAGTTAAGCTTTAAATGACATGGCGCAGTGCTTGAAAATGACTACATTTTCATTACACTGCAAGAGGGGTTTGTCACCTCAGGTAAGTAAAAACAGTGTCGATTAGAAGTGATGTGGATTCAAGCAGATCACATAAACGTTTTACAACCACCTGTCAAAGTCTACAGGAGTTGGGTTTCAGACTAAAACGATAGATTTCTGATGGTATCACCTTAAATAATCATGTCAGTGACAAGGTCAGTCATTTGTAACCATAATGAACTCTGCTGCTTTCTTGGCTGACTAGCAATCAAGCAATCGGTATAATAAATCTTGTTTGTGGCAATCTCTCAACTGGAGCACAGAGTTAGTCTTTGTGCTCCGCTTCAAATGCTTCTCCAAGCAGATCATTTACCGCTGCCAGGTAAAAACTTGGACCTCCTGGCGCTACCAAGAGAACCAGATTGCGTGGTTTATAAATTGTGCAATATGCAAACACAGTACAGAAGCTGCTGATCAAGTACAACAATGGATAATGAGATAAGATGAGAAATGCAAACAGCCTTCACACGGCAGGGCTGCAGTAACAATTCACTTAGAGAACTCCCTCTTCTTGAAATCCATCCATTGAGCTAATAATCCAGGACTTGAATTTAACACTGCAATCTCAGCTGCTGCAAATCAAACCAGCACAGAGTAATTACACCTTTATCAACTGAGAATAACTATGAGCAGCTGGGTTGACTGGGGAAAATGGAGAAACTGGGCAGCAGCGCTCCAGACCTCTGCCCTAATCAGAATCAGAATCAGAAATGCTTTAATAATCCCAGGGGGAAATTACTTTAATTCTTTTCTTAATTACTAATGAAGTGCCTTTTTTCACTGAATATAATGGCTGGGAGACTCTGAAGGAACGGCTACAACCTGCAAGACGAGAGTCACAAAGACTTGCAGAGTCTACGAGCTTAATGCAAGGGGGGTGATGACGTCACTTTTGGGGCGCTGATATTTAATATTTCTGTAATACAAAATATTCAAAGGAACTTGTATTGAAGGGATCCTTAAATGTGCTTTTCATATGTGATTAACTAATCGCTGTATTTGTAGGAATATGCATAATGTAAAGTATAATGTTTCTAATGTTTTTTTTGTTGATTACATTCAAATCAAATGTATAAAGGTGCTGCTCTCTTATTCTACTAATTACCTTTTTACAGTACAGACTGACAAGCTAGCAAGGCTGAAAAGTAGCCTTCTGATGCCTTTGGCTGTGTGATAAAGCACGACATGCTGACCTGCTGAGACACCCACAGTTAAGATAAAGTAAGGACACAACTAATAGCCTACTACTCTCAAGTGCGGAAATATCAGTTCAAGCAGCATGTGGAGTAGAAGAAATAGGTAGGAAGAGGCACTTAAATCCCACTGGCATTCAGAAGTGATTTTTCCCAACCTCACCTCAGTCAAACTGCAGCCCCTGTGATGTGATGCCAGCTACAACCAGCAGCACCAGTCTGACTGAAACTCTATGGGAGGGCACTGATGTGTGGCATTAGGCACCGCCATGTACGCATAGGAGCCTTGAAAAAAAAGTTACCTCCAAGGATCAGAAAAAGACCACCTCCTTCACAGCCCACCCTATCACAATACACACACACACACACACACACACAGACACACACAGACACACACAGCAGCCAGGACCACCTACTGCACAGAGCAGCCCCCAGGCTCTACTCTACCTTATACACACAAATACACCAGCACACATGCAGTTCATTAGGACGGTGTTCAAAGTGCCAAAAACAGGGAACCATTATGACTCAGTGCCATTAACACCAACACTCAGAGATGAAAAACTGTGTGTGTGTCTTACACTGCTACTATACTGCAGCTCAGACCCAAAGAAAACTCTTAAATTTGCAGCTGACGAATAAAAACGACAGCCATTAAAGGCTGAAAGAAGAGTCAGTCCTGTCAACTGTACAGTATGTGTGGTCCATTCGGGGGGTATCTGAGGCTTTTCACACTCAAGTAGCTTTTGTCATAAAGTAACACTGCTGGAAATAAACTGCTTTAGGGCTTAAGTATTGCCGGCTGCACTGGAGATTTGACATGAAGTGATGAGAGGTAGGCCAAGGTTATGCTTTTTCCACATCCAAAGCCTTCTATTTAGTTCACCCCTAAATGACAAGTCAGTCATTCTTCACCCTCTCTTTTGTGGTTTGTAGGGCTATAAAAACAAGTAAGTTAGCACCTACAGTTCACTATTTGAGGACAATTATAATAGACTTTATAATAGACATTGTAGAGGATTTTGCTGCAGATGTTAACAGCTGGCTTCATTAACTTCAATAACTTGGAGAGATCTTGGGTGGAATTTATGTAGACTGATGCTGAAATTATGTATCTGCAGGCCTACTTAGACGGCATTATGGGTAACTGTAGGTTGAAGGGGAGCTGATACACACACCTCCAAAATCTCAAAAAACGTTTGTCAAGCAAGCTGACTGGTTGATTTAACTTGGGGACACAAATTTGAAACAACAATACAAATAAACAAGTAAACGTCAAACTCGAAATGTGTACAGGTACAAAACAAACACCACGCAAATGTTGTGTTTACACACTAAACATTATCCCTGCTTAACATCAGCATGTTTTGTCATGCTCGTTGTCATTGTGACCATGCTGATGTTCGCTCAAATCACCACTGCTGTTCTAAGTACAGCCTCACAGAGCTGCTACCTTTGCTGCAGACTACTGAAACAAGGCTGGTCTTCATGCACATACTGCAGATGTATGCAGACTTTACTTTCTTATCAGCTAAAATCCAAATCAAAGTTGACATTTTATTGCCAGTTAAACTTCTGGTGATCATGTTAAAAACTCCCTGACATGTCTGCTGCCTGGCGTCTGTCTGACTTTATATTACCAGCTGAGAAGTGAAGAACAGTGAATTGTGGAAAGGCGATATTTGGAGTCTAGACAGATGTCTGCTGCTTTGAACAAAAGAGAGTTCAAAGACTTGGGCCCCAGCCACAAGCCAGTATATTGGTTGTTATCCCTTGTCAACTCGCACACATACACACACACAACTCTGTCATTTGTTTCCCCCCTCCCCCCCTCGCACTCTCTCTCTGCAAGCAGGAGTTTCCCAGTCTGCAGGCGAAGCTAAAAGTAGCCTTCTCATACTCTACTGCCACTCAGCACTTTTCCAGCTGAATGAAAAACCGTCTCTTGCAACACCTCAAACATGACCCCG